GGGCCTGGCACGTGAGAGATGATGAGAACTAACCCTCTGCGCCCTGTAGATGAGCGTTCGCATCCCCGTGTCTCCCTCTTGCTGTGGGGACCCCTCTGCCGCCTGCAGGGGCGCTTCCGAGAGACCATCGGAGCAGCCAGACTGGGTCAGACCAAAGGCCCATCCAGCCCAGGGTCCTGTCGCCCACAGTGGCCAATGCCAGGTGCCCCAGAGGGAGGGAACCCAACAGGGAACCATCCAGTGATCCCTCCCCCGTCGCCCATTGTCAGCTTCTGGCAAACAGAGGCCAGGGACACCCTCCCTACTCAGTCTGGCTAACGGCCGTTGCTGGATCTATTTTCCATGTGTTTGTCTAGTTCTTTTTTGAACCCTGTTAAAGTCCCGGTCTTCACAACATCCTATGGCAAGGAGTTCCACAGGTTGACAGGTTGTGTGAAGAAAAACTGCCTGTGGTTTGTTTTAAACCTGCTGCCTATTAATTTAATTTGATGACTCCTAGTTCTTGTGTTATGGGAAGGAATAAATCACTTTTCCTTATTCACTTTCTCCACACCAGTCAGGACTGTACAGACCTCGATCCTCTCCCCCTGAGTTGTCTCTTTGCCAAGCGCTTTTCTATTTCCCGACACTGTTTCCTGGAGGGTGGCTGAGCCTCTGTGGGAGTTTCGCTGCCTATTAATTTAATTTGATGACTCCTAGTTCTTGTGTTATGGGAAGGAATAAATCACTTTTCCTTATTCACTTTCTCCACACCAGTCAGGACTGTACAGACCTCGATCCTCTCCCCCTGAGTTGTCTCTTTGCCAAGCGCTTTTCTATTTCCCGACACTGTTTCCTGGAGGGTGGCTGAGCCTCTGTGGGAGTTTCCAGCGCAGCTCGAGCTGCAGCCAGGTGTGAGCGCTGGCGTGGGCCGGGCTCCAGGCAGCACTGGGCCCTGGGTCACACGCTGCAGATCAGCCCCAAGCGCCCGCCGGATCCCCCAGCTCCTCGGGAGCTCTGCGGACCGCTGGGAGGCCGGGGTCGCAGCCCTGGCACTGCTGGGCCGAAGCAGGGCCTGTGTGGCTGAGGGCCCCTTGCCAGCCAGGACTCCCTCAACTGCTGCCCATTTGTTATCACAGCTGAGCCCCCAAACTCCCTGGCCAAAAGCACGTCTGATAAGGCCCCGGCATCTGGTCCCCATTAGCGGCTGCGTGCTCTCGCTGGGCGAGCGGGGTGCTGTGCTGACAAGCTCCCATCTGGTGAGCGTTAGGGGAATGGTAACATCTTGGGGGGGCAGGGTTGGGCTTCGGAGTAGCGGCTGCGTGCTCTCGCTGGGCGAGCGGGGTGCTGTGCTGACAAGCTCCCATCTGGTGAGCGTTAGGGGAATGGTAACATCTTGGGGGGGCAGGGTTGGGCTTCGGAGTCCCATTTGGCTGTTACACTGGTGGGAAGCGAGCCCGCCCCCAGGTCTGAGCCGGCCCCGGGCCAAGCCCGGCCGAGGGACGGTCGTGTCCTGTTGGCGCGGCCGGGGGCGAAGGTGCGACGCGGCCCGCG